CTTCTGACAAGTGTGTTAAATTTAAAGTATACTAGGATTCCCTTGGTCATTGAAAACCTAGACTAGTCCAGGAATTAGTCAAAATCAAATAAAAAGATTTTGAAAAGTCATGGAATTTTTTGTGTATAATGAAATAGTTACAATAATCTTATAACCCTCCACCTAGTGTAACATAATGGCAAACTATTTTTCTGTTGATGTCACGTTACTGTAATACAATGGATCCCAACAGGTGGGTCATGGGTTCATTCTGAGTTTATTTTCAAGTGCCATTTCCTGCTGATGAGTGAGTGACTAACGGACAGCTACTTGACAGTGACAGCAAAGTAGCTCAACGGCATGGCCAAAATGCAAGTATGGACCTTGAACTAATGATTAAAGAGAAATCTAGACCTTCTGGCTGGACTAGTTGGGAACCCCTGCTCTAATATACGGTGATACGTTTTTTGTTTTGTTTTTTCCTACCACCACATGCATTTCTTAATTTTCTTCCCGCCTTCCCTCTCTCTCGTCATGTATGTCAGCTAGCTGAAATTATTCTTGAATGGAGTTTGAATCTGATGTGTTTGAAAAACACCTGGTACACAGGGTTATAAAAATTATTTAAAAAAAAATTTAAACTATGGGCTCTTGAAAAGTCATGGAAAAGTTTTAAAAAAAAAATGAAAAAGCATGGGAACCCTGTTATTGACATGATCACCTGTTACGTTGTGATGACAAATGAATAAAATCAGTTCAAAGCTCAATTAAAGATAATATGTGTTGTGTAAGTGGCATAACTTTCTTTCTTTCTTTCTTTCTTTCTTTCTTTTTTACCTATTCTATATTACAACCATTTTCTAGGTCAACAATGAACAGTATGCTGAAGTGCACTTGTGTGATGTTTGGAAATTTGTACATAAGTGTGTATGGTTTTGTACAGTTTGTACAGTTTTTGCCACATAAAGAGTTTGAATTTTTTGATGTGGGGCTGTATGAGGTCAGTGTATTACCTACAGTCGATGACGGTCAGCACACCCCCAATTTGGAGAAACAGACACAGAACCTAAGCAATGTACTGCTGTGGGCGGGGCAGCCGCAAAAAGTACTTAAGCCACCTAAAGAAAGGCTCACTTAAAAAATCTATATCAGTTTAAGGACGTATTCACACTAGCGCTATTTGGTCCGCTTTAAATGAACCCTGGTCCACTTCCACGGATAGTTTCGTTTGTTTGGAGTGGTGTGAACGCTCATTTGAACTCTGTTGCGGACCAAATGAGCGAACCCTGGTCTGCTTGAAAACTGGGGGTCTCGGTTCACTTGCAAGTGAACCCTGGTTCACTTACAGTGGGAAATGCAAACGGACTATCCAGCAAACCAAAAAGAGGAAGTGAACCAAAGAGAGGTCGTGATGTAGAGCGCAGTGCATTTTGGTGTTTGGTGTTTTTGTGGTGACCAAGCCGGGGATGGATTTCCATTTTCGATCCTGGCCAATCGATGAGCCGGGTTTTCTTCTTCCTCATGCTTTTTTTCTTCCTGTTCAGTGGGCGTTTTGGGCAATACTGCCCCCAAATAAGCAGCTGTTTTAACTGCGTGATGTTGTCCAGGCGGTTTGGTCCGTTTTAAAAAGTGCAGTGTGAGAGTGAACCGAACCAAATGAAGGTGTGAAATTTTTCGGCATTCCCCGCCCAATCGAACCGAGTCCCCCGGACTATCCTGGTGTGAATGCGCCCTAAGTGTGCATATTGAGAGTATTTTCATCGCTTTAGATTCCCATTGGAAAGTGAAACAGTGAAAATATTCTCAATGTAGCCCCCCTCCACAGCAGTACATTACTTAGCCTCTGTGTCCAGGTACTGCTGTTTGTTTCTCCAAATTGGGGGCATGTCGACCACCATCGACTGCAGGTGATACACTGACTGTGGAAAAGAACCTTACACAACCCCATTTGAAAAAATCAGACCGATCCCTGTAATGAGCAATGAAAAAGAAGTATATCAAACTCTGCAGGGAGTAGATTGCCAGCAGGATGCAATTGTATGATAATAAAGTAAATCTTGAATGTCTGTCGCTAAATGTTTTCTGATGCACACCTGGTGGGTATGAAAATGAAATAATTCAAAATAAGGCATGAATTCCTGCGCACTGTTAGCACATGAGTTCTGAAAATGCAATGTTTTGGTTAAAGACCTTTGTCAGGCATCAAATGCACAATATGAAACAACATCTCAATGCAAAAGCCACAGGCTGCATTTTTAGTAGCTGTGCTGAAAGTGTGCAGGAATCCAACTCTTTATTTTAGTGTATTTGTTACTGAAATTGGTTTTGAAAAATCGAGAATGGGCCTGTAGGTGGGTTCACAGGATCGTCATGGTTGCTAAAGAGTAGCTGCTGAGATAGATGTGTTTTGATTGTATACAGGGAGCTTTACAGTCAATGAGCATACTTATATACAGCTGTAAATGGAAAAACCAGGCCAAGTCGGTAACATCACAGCTGAATGTGTGTGTGTGTGTGTGTGTGTGTGTGTGTGTGTGAGCCAGACAACCCATGTGTACAACAGTGTGTGTGGCTCTATCATCGTCTCCTCTCTCCACCACAGACAGGTGATTAATAAACATTAAACAATCCCTCCTCTCTCAAACACACCGGAATCTGACGGGAAGAGCAGCATATGTTTGCCTGGAGGCACAGAGAGAGATGGAGAGCGGCCCCGCTGAGTGTCAGATAGAGGGAGAGAATAGGGGGAGAGGAGGGTGAGGAGGAGAGGGGAGGGGGGAGTTAGGTTACAGAGTGGGAGATGAAGGGATGGGGGGGGATTGACACAGGAGGGTAATGAGATGGGAGGAGAGAAAGGGAGATATAGGCAGGTAGGAATGAGTGATGTTTGAGAGCGTACGAGCAGGCAACGTGTGTATGTGTGCCGTCCCTGGAAAGCAGTAATTGCGTTGAGTATCTCATCCTGGTTAAATAAAGTGAAGGACTGTGCAGGGGAGGTGAGAGGTGGTCGGTGGGAGAAATGTGGAACAGATGGGTTGAGGGGGAACCGAGGTGTGTGTGTGGCTTGTTGGGCGCTGGGGGTCGCACCGCTGCTTCCGCTCTCTCCCAGGTACAGTGTTCAGGGCTGCAGCTGTGACGCCAACGTCTCCCTGGGCCCCTGCTGGAGCCCTGTATGCATAGAGGGGCCCTGATTTTTTGTCAGTGACACCTTGAGTGGTGCAAACAGAAAAATCTTCCTAAAAATGATCTGTGTGTGGCCTCAGATTCAGGTTCTTGTGTTGGCAAGCTTTAGTCCAGCACTGCACAGGTACTACAATAATACATTGATTAACTGTTTTGTAGACTGACAGAAAATAATCAACAATTTTAGTATTATGTTAATAGTTGAAGTTGTTTATAAAGCAGCTACAGGCTCTATGGGGCTGTACTTAAGCTTTCATTGCAGGTTTTTGGTCATCAACCAATGGAATTTTAACCTGATGATGGCGCTAGATGAAATGTTTTACTATGATTTCTGAAGGACACATGAAATTCCAAACCAAACTTTAATCCAGTGGTTATGGAGACATTATTTCCCCAATAATCAGTTAATCATTTTGCCCATAAAATGTCAGGAAATTGTGAAAAATTCCAAAGCATTTTATTATCATGGACGACAAATAAAAGCTTCAGATTCTCACATTTACGATGCATGTAATCAGTTCGGCTTTTTGCTTCAACAATTATTCGATGATCAAAATAGTTACCAATTAATTTTCTGTTGATTCATCACTCTATTAATCGACTACTTGTTGCAGCTCTTACGTTCACAATGACAATGCTAACATGCTGTAAATTAGCAGGTTTACCCACAGATCTATTATAATAACTAGATACCAGACCCCAACATGGCCCCTTTATATTCCATTGGAATTACTCGCTTGGTGCATGGGCCAAAAAGAGTTTTCTAGCTTCTGGGTTTACTTTCGCAGGCCACTGAATATGCACAGTAGTGTATTTCCTGCTGGCCCCGCCCATGAGTTCCCCCCTGCATCATAATTTACATTGTGATGATGTCAGTGACCTTGTTTGGAGTTCAACATGTCCCGTCAATAGTTTCACAGACGTCTCTTTTACAGTGGTGGTCTATGGGGAAAATGCTTTTTGGACTGCAGGGGATTTTTTTCGGCCACCAGCAAAATTTCCACCATCTTAGTTTAGCATGTTAGCACAGCAGAGACAGCTGAGGCTGATGGGTATATCATTGGTTTTACAAAATTTTGGTCATAAAACAGTTCAATTTCACAGGAAATTTGGTACCAAATTAAATTAAGTAAAAACTCTGACCTGCTAATGGTGCTTGAGTAAAAGTCAGAGGATCACCCAAGTCAGAGGATTCATCCTCTGGGATCATGAATATCCGTACAAAATTTCTTGACAGTCCATGTTGCAATTATTGCAAAATTTGAGTCTGGAACAAAGTGACGGACAAATCAACACAGATCCCTAAAACTGCAAAAACTCTATTTTTAGCTTATTTTTTTATAGTGTATAATCATTGTAAATGCAATATCTTTTGGTTTCGGAAAATTGGTCAGATATTAGAAGCAAATTGAAGACATCACTTTTGGCTCTGGGAGCTGTGATGGACATTTTTCACCATTTTCTGCCATTTTATACACGAAGCAATTAACCTCACAAAAACTGACATATCAGTGAAAAATGAAATTAAATGTAAGTTGCAGCCCTCGCCATGACCTTTCTGTTGATGTCACGACAGACTTTGCCCACATGGATCAATGAAACAGAAAACAGAACATTGAGACAAATGGAAAAAATAAGCATTTACAATGAGGGCACAGTAAAAGCCCATTGTCACTTAAAAAGTTGAAGTGGGCAGTTAAAGACACCTGCCGGTGCCATCACTTTATACCGTTCTGATATGATATCCTGGATAGAAACATAAAAACGCACTCACGAAACTCAACCAATCAGTTCTTAATTCTTTAATAATATATTACATTTATGCCGTAATACAATAATAATAACAACAGTAATAACATTAATAATAAACATACACAGAAAGTACAAAATGATTTGTGTTATTTTCTTTAAGTTACCAACACGCAGTACTTCAAAACAAAAGAAACCAAATCTCCTTTAGCTGCCTTTGACTCCTCCTCCTTACCCCGCTGTCAGAGAACCCAGAGAACTCAATTTCCCATGACCACCCACTAACTACATATGGAAGCTGTGCTTGTCCAATCAGGTGGAGTTAAAAGTCTCCTAATGTTCAAGAGGAGCAAAGAGCAGGTTGTCGTCTCGGATATGGCTTTACCACACTTCCCAGATGAGTTCAGTCCAAAAAATGTTTACTAGTGTGTGTGTGTGTGTGTGTGTGAGAGAGAGAGAGTCACTGATGAAGGCAGGGGTTTCTAAAACACAGATAAAGGTGACATGTTTACCCAAATAAAAAAAAGGAGGGGGTAAATAAATACAGCCATATGTAGGAACTCATCTTGAAGAGATGTTTTTGTAGACGCCATCATGACACAAACCAGCTACTAAGAAGAGAGGTCCATGCGTCATGTTGAGTGAGGTGGTTGTGGACACACATTACAGTACAGATATCATCATGACCCCGGCCTCCTCGTTGGGAGGGACTGCAGAGGTTTTTCTGGGAGGTAAAAGTCTCAGTTTTTATCCTGAGGGCGAAGGTAAAGATGCAGAGGGGCACCAATCAGTCTTTCTCCCCTCTTTTTCTCCCTCCTTTCTGCCTCTCATCTCATCCATCAACACATCCTGTCCATCCTCCCCTCTATTTGCGGTGCTTCATCTCCTTGTCGTGGTGGCTCTTCCCTCCACCCTCTCCTTTGTCCAGCATTTTGATCGCCTCCATCAGGTAGCTCTGGAAGGCGGAGAGCGCGGCGCAGATGGCGGGAGTACCGAAGCCGTGGGTGAGCAGGCTGAAGTGGGTGAGGCTTCCCTGGACGCCGGGCTCCAGGCAGGGGGTGGGTCGACTGCCGCCCAGCGGAGAGCGGTCCTGGGACATCATGTCCACAAACTCCTTACAGATCTCCCTAAGAGGAAAACAGAAAAACATTAGTTTGTTATTGTGGCACTGTTCCTAAGGGGGACCTACTGTGCTCATTTTTAGGCTCATACTTGTATTTTGAGTTTCCAGCACATTTACTCACTTTAATTTTCATAAACCGCTTTATTTTTTTAGAACCGTCTGTGCTGGAACATCTGTATTCACCCTCTGTCTGAAACTCTCCTCCTTAGCGTCTAGTCTCTGTAAACCTCCCTCCCGAAAAAGCCCAGTCTGCTCTGATTGGTCAGTGTTTTCAGGGTTTCTGTATCTCTGTGTTTCTGCTCCGTAATTGCAGCCAAAAGAATCACTGTGACGAAGAATAGCGATACTTTCTACAAAAAAAAAAAAAAAATCACCAATAAAGGCTTCTGAATCAAAATCTTTACAACAGCAGGAACATAATCCAAAATCTGTGAGAATTAAACAACATCAGCAACCAGAATTACATGTTTGCCTGACATTAGCATGTAGCTACATGTAGCAGTGTACTTGGAGCTGGGGAATAACTGTGTACAGCAGCATTTTCTCCCGTTAAAAATTACCAATAAAAGCTTCTAAACACAACAACACATGTTCCAGCAGGAATATGATGTGGAATCGGGGAGTAATTAACAACATCGGCAACCAAGATTAAACACTTGCATTGACGTGCCTGGAGGCAGATGACCATATAAAGAAATTCGTCATGATCTGACGTCAGCTTGTCTCAGAAGTAGAAAAAAAAATGATAGAAGCAGAGTGTCCAGAGCAGTCTGTAGCCTGAGGTCTTTGCTTTCAGGGAAGAAAAAGCATTATGAGTGTCTTTTAACTTTTATTCCCTGTGTCAATCAATGCCCAGCACCAGCACACCCTTTCATGGAATAAACTCACCCTTTAGCCTGGGTTAAACCTGGCATAGGTGTCAGAGTGTTACTATCTCACATTCACTCCCTCAGGGGAAAAACTCTAAACTTGTAACAGATTCAGTTTGAAATTCATAGAAGCACTTGATCTTATTCTGTCCTGATAAAACGTGACCCTTGGTATTTTTACTTTAGTTAACTCTATCAGTATTTAACACAGATCTGGTAGATCTGGTATCTAGCACTAACTCTCCTAAAAAATGAAATCTTTAAGAGGCATTTCAGCTGTTTAGTGTTGCACTTCTTTTAAGTTTCACAACCTACAACAGACTAAAGAGGACCTTTTAATCATTGTTAAAGCTCCTAAAACACATTTTCCAAAATCAGTTTGTAACATACTTATTATTTATTATAAAATTGTAGTCTGCAAGCCCATGCTGAGGTTATTCAAGTGATGATGAGGGCTGGGTATTGTCTGAGTACACCAGACACCACGGGTGTTTAGTAATAGCCATGCTTTCAAACATTTTGCTGGCATCTCTGCACTCTGAACTGCCAACTTCAACAATTACAACAGGCTCAACTTCACCACACAAAAGACTGTATGGGTCGAAGCTGCTGCAGTAGTGGGCCACTCACATGTTGCGACAAATCGAAGAACGTTTTTTGTGATTGCGAGCAAAACCGTACAAATAGGGTTTTTTTTTCAGATATGGGTACAAAAAGACTTGAATGCATGTATTGTAATTGAGTACCAATACCTAGCCTTAGATGTGACACCTTGTGCTCCACATGACCAGCGAGTTGACTTGAACATGTAAAAATAGGTTGAATGCTCATTTAAAATGTGCATTGGAGGGATGAAGCACTCACTTGGTGGCAAGCAGCATGCTGCGCCGTGTTGGGAGCTGGTCGGGCTCACTCTGCCTGCACAGATACTCAGCTGTGGCTCTGGCTGGAAACTCTGTCTCACATACATAACCAAAGTCCCGCGCCAGATGGACGGCCTCACCTGCAGGAGGAAGAGGAGGAGGAGGAGAGTGTGTCTATTAAAACAGAGTCAAAGCAGTAAAAAAGGAATAGCCTGTCATTAGTAAGGCAAAAAAGCAGCTCTACCTCCGTTTTTAGTGAGTTAAAGGTCAGTGCTTCAGTTTAGATTTGCTTTTAAATGATACACATTTAAAGGACTGCTGTAACTGCTTGGGTCAGGTCAGGTCAAGAGCCAAACTCTGCACCCATTTTTCTCACTTTCACCATTCAAACAGTTCATTGCTCTTTGGCTTTGTGAGGCGTCCGGAGCTGTAGCTTTTTCAAATGACACCATGCATGCATGCAGCCACCCATGCTATGACTTGTTTATTCATGCCTGCTCATGCGAGGACATTTCTATGTGAATATGTGTCTCTATCTGTCAGGATATATGCAGGTCACTGTATGTGTACGTATGTGTGTGTGTGTGTGTGTGTGTGTGTGTGTCTTTTCCGTACCCTCGACTAGAGATGTTAGAAGAGTGACGTTGGCTGCCTTGCGTCGCCCGGCGGGCAGGTTGAGGCCAATCTTCTCCAGACGCTCTCTCAGACAGCGGCCACCATTCTTTGACTTCGCCCTGAGGGGGGACAGGGAGACAGAGAGAGCAGTTTTAGGAGATGGTCCTTGTGTGTGTGTGTGTGTGTGTGTGTTTGTGTTCGTGCCTCTGTCTATGGCTGGGTGTGTGTGTGTTTGTGTATGTGTGTTTATGTAAGTGAATGTGAAGCTGAAATCTCCCCACAGTATGTTCCCTGTCAGCACTGATAGTGTCTTGTGTTTTTCGCTGTTTTAAGTTGTTCTTTTACTTTCCTTTGCATGTTCTCATCACATTTTTTTTAAATGCTATATTAAGAATGTTTCATTATCTATTGATGCAGAAATATTTTTAGCTAATCATATGATAGGAGAGGCCCCTTTCCTGTAATGTAAAACAAATAAGTGCTGCATTCAAAATCTCACTTAAGCAAAAGTCTTACAATCACTTTTTCATCTTTTTTCTTCTTCTGTTCCTTGTCTTATCTTACCTCCTCTTATCTTAACAGAAAAAAACGTACTTTAATTGTCAAAGTAATTAAAATAAAAAGTATTTATTATGTAGAGAATGGTCCATGTGAGTGTTATATTGTTATATTATATATTAATTGATCATAGGCATTGTATTGTATTAATGGAAGTAGCATTTTACTGATGTATAAGTATAAAATAAAACAGAAATACTCAAGTTAAAGGCATAGTTTGGATTTTTTAAGTGGGGTTTTATGAGGTACTTATCCATAGTCAGTGTATTTCACACAGTAGATGTCAGTCGGCACGCCCCCAGTTTGGAGAAGCAGGCAGGAGTACTGACATGGAAGCTAAGCAATGCACTGCTGTGGATGGGGTCAGCAACAAAACATTTTAGCCACCTAAAAAGTCCCACTTAAAATAATCAACAATCAATTCAAGTTAACACCATACTGAGAATATTTTCAGGGCTTTAGAGGGAAGCCATTAACTACTTAATGTCCCCATCTATGCTCTTTTCAAAGCCACCAGACTCCACTGACAAAAACAGTAGTTTTAGCTCACTGAACACGGCAGCTGCTCGTCTACCACTGCCTTAATTATTTAGTTAGGTTGCATAATTGTGTGACTCTGGTGAACTGAACTGACCCTTTTAAACACCAATGTCACACAACAACACAAACTAACAAGCTGATTGATACAGTGGTAGACCAGCAGCTCCTGTGTTCAGCCATGTTAAATCACTGTTTTTCTCAATGGAGTCTGGCTTTGAAGAGAGCGATATAACGCTGTCATTTTCGAGTTGGAAATCACTGTCTGACATTAAGATAAAGCAGTGAAAATATTCTCAGTATAGCGTACACCTCAACTGATAGTGATACTTTTCTTGGGTGGCTTAAATAGTTTTGTTGCTGACCCATCCACAGCAGTAAATTGCTTAGCTTCAATATCAGACTCCAGCCTGCTTCTCCAAACTGGGAGCATGCTGACTGACATCTACTGTGTGCAATACACTGACTATGGCTAAGTACCCCATACAACCCCACATCAAGAAATCTGAACTGACCCTTTAGGTACAAGTACTTCTAAATGATTAGCAGTGATGTATTATCAGTGGGTTCGCTGTATCTCTCTGCTCTGGCGAGGAGGGTTTATGTTTATTTACGACCCTTTAGATCTTTTAATTATGTCCTCTTAGAGTATTTCAGCCTGCAACACGAATCAGAAAGTTGGTCTCTGGCCCCGAGGCTGTGGTTCATTAAACCACATTGCTTCTCTTGTGATTTAGTCCCATGACCCATTTTGGGTCCTCCGCTCTGGCCCCATAGTCAAGTTAAAGCGCCCTTATTCTGAAAAGCTTGGCTGAAACGGAGTACGATCACACTGAGAGTCTGTCATTTGGTTTGGAGCATTTTGTGTAATTTTGCATACTACAATCCATACTCAGAGATCCAGTATCATTACAGCTTATTGTTTTTACTGTTTTAACTTGCACAGAGATGTATGGTAAATACCAATGAACTGGATTGATAGATTGATTCATGGAATATAAGTGTCTGTGCTCAGTGCTCTAGGGTGCAATGTGTAATATTTTCAGATATCTGTTCCATCATATTACTATTGTTACATTTGTAAAATGACATAATGGACAAGCCAGAGCCTCTATCTCTCCCCTGCAGTGTTGTTTAGAGCAACTGTCGCTCAGACTTACGGCTACATTTTTAATCAACTCTGGTTCTTGTTTTAACTCTTTCACTTGACTAAAATGGATAAATATTTTTCCTGCAACTCCGTCGTCCGCTGTCTACTGCCTTTTTCACTGGAAGAACAGCACAACCTTCCTGTTTTGTGCCATAAAGAGGCATCTCTGTGTAGTAAAGCGATCAGCAGATTTTGCCAGAATCCTCTTTAATCCCTCACAAACACTTTGACAGTTTACAGTATAAATATCAACTTTTGAGGCTCAACTGTTGTTTTGTGACAGTTACTGATTTCCTATATTTGCCAGAGTGACTTTCAACAACATTCAGAGCAGGGTCATGAAGGACTCGAGCGCGGCAGGGATGATGTTTCCTTGTCGGCCAACAAAAAGCTAATGGGATTTTTCCATTAGATCAAGGGTGTAAATTTTGTTTCAACATTGTGGGGAGACACATATGATGCCCCAGGATGTTTTAAGCATCAAACACATAAATATCTGCATTCTGGGGAATTTTAACTCACCAATTTATGGTGCAAATGTTTTTAATTTTTTTTTTTTTTTCAAAGTAAAAGTCGTCTGTTATGCACATGTTCTACATATTGAGGTGGACGTCACCTGTGTGATGTCACCTGCATTCCCCTTGAAATCTACTCCCATGCATTGGATTTTTTTTGGGGGGGAGGGGATTATTGCAGAAAATAAGCTCTGTGGCAAACAAAAGTTTATCATACTTACTTGAACACCACTTTTACGATTTCTGAAGCATAAATGCAATCACCAGAAGTAAGCTAACGTTTCACCATGAATGCACTGCACCATGGTCACCACCACCGCCATGTTCAGTGTGGTGAAAATCTGTAGTCTCATTTAGCCACTTCCTAGCAACCACCTTTTTCAACACACACAAATGCTTCAAAGTTCACGAGTGGGGTATTTACTGACGTATAATATGTGGTAGAACAAAGTGTGAGAGTCTCATGAGCTTGTGTAACCAAAAACTCATTCAAAAAACCCATTGACTTACAGACAAGCGAACCAGAAGTGCATTTTTGTATTTTCGGACTCATTCCTGCACTACTCTATTGTTTGACACCCAAGGATATATAAGTACATACTGTAGATGAGATGGCCAGCCAGTTTGGTGACATTAGAGAATGCCAACGGTCTCAGATTTCACTCATACAGCAGTATGTTTTTAGGCGTCACAGCTTTATCGATTGTTTGGGCGTCTGCTGATGGAGAAGCTATGGATTTCCTCATTTACTTTTGTGAACACTGGTGCCAAGCAGTTACTGTAGATTCATTTTTGGTTTTGCTAGATGGTTAGATAAATGCAGTAAGTAAGAACTATTTCAGCTTTAATTCCCAATATATATTCAGCCGTGATCAATGGGAATACACGAGACAATAACATGGGCTTGCATGCTGTTTTCATTTAGATTTAACTAATTTAAGGCACAATTCTCGAGCTTTCAGGCTTGTGACCCTTGTCTTGAAGCTGCGACAGCTCAACTATAGACAGAGTTTTCATTCTCACATTGTTTTTAGAGGCCCAATGAGGTAAAACTCTCCAGAAAACTCAGACAAGGTTAGGAATTACTGATTCAAGGTGTATTTTTGTCCTTAAGTTTATAGGCTCGGAGCCCCCCCCCTAAACAACAACTACATCACAGCCTCTTTATACCCCATCTTCTTCTCACCTGCGGAGAACTCCACCCAGCAAAGAGGCGTTGAGGCACTCAGGCGGGGAGAGGCGTCGCTGCACCTCCCCAACCGTCACCTTGTACTTGGAGGTGGAGCTGAGCAGCGAGAGGCGACCGGGGACCGAACAGAAAACCTCAGCTGGGTTGGACACGGCTCCCACACCCAGACCCTCCTTACAGAGGGACAAGGCTGACAGGGACGAGCCGTTCAGCTTGGACGGGATGGGAACTGTAGGAAGAAATGAAGAAAGTTTAGGCTCATTTGCATGCGAATTATACATGCTCTTAGGCTATTTGCATTATTTGTGTCAGACAGAAAACAGCAACAAAGCAGGATGCGAAGGGAGCGAAAAGAGACCAAGGAGGAATAAAGATTGTGAATCTAAACATATGTTTTCTGCAGTGACAATTGGGCTGTGTGAATGACTTGTGTGACAGCGTGCTCCTTCTCTCCTGATTAATCTATTCAGTGTAATGTTCTCCCCTGCTTCCACAGCTCTAATTCTGGAGTGCTGCTTGCTGATTGTTCTGTTTAAACTGCAGGTGGTTACATTTTAAATGTGCATTCTCAAATAGCTTTATGTCACACCTTCAAGAGCTCAATTCACACTCACTTTTCTCCAATGTGGTAAACTTTTAACATGAGTTTTTCTGTCTTGTTTGGGAGGAGGAGGAGTGAAAGCCGATCATCTAAATCCTTTTTCAACCACTTTGGGAGTTAAAGATTTGGGGAGTAACGTTGCCAGTTAAAGGTCCAGTGTGCAGGATTTAGCTGAATCTAGCAGTGACGCTGAAGAACTGAAACTTCGTCCATGTGCCAAGCATGTCGGAGAACTATGACAGCTGACATGAAAATGCAAATGGTCCCATCTAGAGCCAGTGTTTGGTTTATCCATTTTAGGCTACTGTAGAACAACATGGCGGACTCCATGGAGGAGGACCAGCTCCTGTGCAATGACTCTTATTTTCAGGTGATTATAAACTTATGAAAACATAGTTGTGAATATTATAATATTATATTCCATTTCTGCCAGTAGATGCCCCTACATCCTTCACACTGGACCTTTAAGAAGCATCTCCCTGATTTGTTAGTTGTCCAGATTACCTGTTGCAGCACTGACAGGCGAAGGTGTTAATTGGTGTTGACGAAGCCTTAATATTTAATCCTAAATCCACTTAAGATGCAGTTGTGTGGGCAGAAATCCTCTGAATTACGAGGATTGAAAGGGACCCCTTTGTGTGTGTGTGTGTGTGTGTGTGTGTGTGTGTGCTCTATGCCTATGAGGAGACACTTGTCGCAAAGATAAAGTAGAGCTCTATCTCAGAGGCTTTATTCTCTTTATTTTACTTTATTTAACCTTTATTTTAAAAGGAATATTTCTGCTGAGATTCAAAATCTTTTGCAAATGAGTCCTGGCCAAGACAGCAGCAGGTTAAGATGCCTTTTTTTAAATTTTTTTTTTAGCTTTTTTGGGAGGTTATAGTCAACCCAAATCATGTACCCAGGTTTTGAGATACCTATGTTTCTGCCTCCACCCCAATGCAGCGGAGGTGAGTGTTGACATATAATGTCTTTGTGGAAACAATCCACAAACCTCTCTGTTTTCAGTGGAACTGCTGTTAAAAACTGCTGACACCATTATTCTGTGGATTGTCTAGAGTTAACTGGGAAACTGTGTTCATTAAAATGTCTTCCTGTTCCATGTTTTAAATGTGATTTTTCAATGCTGCGAGCACCACAAAAACACAATCCTAGTCATTTCTATTGAACTGGTGTGGAGACATAAATCTGGACAAATCAAACCAAGACTATCAGCATGACTGAACACCACAACTGTCAAGAAAGAGAAACAATATACATTTTTTAAAGGCTATTTTATGACTTTATGACTAGGTCAGCTGTGGGGCTGCAACAAGTAATAATTTCATTATCTGTAAATCTGCCAGTTATTTTCACAATTAATCATTTTGTCAATAAAATGTTTAAAAAATGTGAAAAATGCTCACTCCAATTTCCCACAGCCCAAAGAGAAGTCTTCAATTTGTCCCTTTTGTCCAACCAAGACTCTTCGTTTACTATCATAAATGACAAAGAAAAGCGACAAACTCTCACATTTAAGACACTTGAACCAGCAAATGTAATAATAGTTGGAGATTAATTTTTCTCCCGATCGATTAAATGAACAACTGACTAATTGTTACAGCTCTAGTCGACAGTAGAGAGACAACAAGGTTGCATGTAGTTCCCCTGAAACATGTTTTTTTCTTGTAATTTGGGAGAATTGGCCCTCAAAGGCAAGATAGGATATTAATTTGGCAGGTAGCTCAACAAGATAGGATATTAATTAAGCCAATTAGGGTGCTTGCAATTGTGGTAAACAACACTTATGTTTATAAGAATATGCACATGTGTCTGATTTTTAAATGTAAGTTTGCTCTCTTTTTCTGTCTCCGATGCTGATGGCTCTGCAATTGTCTTTTCTCTCTCTCCATTTAAAAAACAAGAATTATCTGTACAACAGTACAGTGACACTGGTTCTCCCCTCGCACTCTGTGGGCGGCGGGTGGCCTCTTTATGACACCCTGCTGTGCAGCGTAGCCTGGAAAAAAAATCTCTTAAAATCCTCTCATTCACAAGCAGCCGATCAGCAAGCCAGCGAGGCCACAGAGCAGCAGAGTACCCTCTCTCTTTCTCCCCTTTGTCATCTCTCCGCCCCTCCCTCTCTTTCTCCCCTTCTCTTATCATCTTTGACTCTTTCTTGTGCCTTCCAC